AGATGGAAAAGAGGTTCAGGAGGAGGAAGCTGACGACGAGGAGGAGGCACTCCCGAATCGCGGTCCTCAAGAAGGGGATTGGGAGTTTGAGTACTCAGATCTCAAAGAGCCAGTGCAGTCTGACAGGCTCATGTTCTGCGTTCCGCTGTTTGACAATAAGTCGCCTTCCGTCCTTGAAGCCCTTCAAGAAATTTACCTCTACTTGCGGGCACTCAATCTTCCAGTCTTGCGTTTGCATACCGATAGGTCGCGTGAGTTCATGAATAAGGCCACTCGCAAGTGGTTTGCAAATCAGCTCGTGAGGGTCACCACAACTGAGGGTGATGCGCCAGCCCAAAACGGCTCAGCAGAGCGCACCATCAGGTGGCTTAAGACTCGGGCACGAACTCTACTGCGAGCTGCTGATTTCCCGCCGCCCCTGTGGGCATGTGCAATGCGAGCTGCTGCAGCACAGCAGAGGTCTGAGGTACTAGGTATGGCCACGAAGCTTGCAGCGCCTTTTGGTGCTAAGTGCCTGGTGCGCGTGAAGGCCTACACGTCTGTTGCAGCTGCTAAGGGCGAGATTGCCGAACGGTGGATTTCAGGTCGGTATGCGGGTTTATCTCCAACGGTTAATGAAGGTCATTTGGTGTACAGGGATGATGGCAAAGGCAATGGGTTCACACAGTCGCTGCACGTGAGAACTAAGGTTGTTGAGCCTCCTGAGTGCCCTGAGCAGTTTGAGGGCGAGTCTGTCCCTGTAAGGCGTCGCGTTGTAGGAAAGTCCCCGCCAGAAGCAGAGCTGAGAGCTGCCCAGCTCGGCTCATGGACGTGGTCTGAGCTTGAAGCTGGCGCAAAGACTTTGCTGCAGGAATGGGATCCTGAGGCTGCCAAGAATCTCCTCATGCAGTTTGCCAAGCCTACCCCGAAGAGCAGTATCAAGCTGGAATGTTCCGTAGGGGAGGGATAGTAGGCTGTATGCGATCGACTTGGAGTAAGCCGTGGCTTGCCTCACTGTGCGCGCGCCTGTTGCAGCATCACGCACCTGATGCTACCTTCACGTCGGTGTGTTTGTCCAACTCGTGTCAAAAGGACATTCACACTGATTCTTCCAACCTTCCGGGAACTACAAATCTCATCCTACCAGTGTGTCTTCCTAAGCGTGGGGGCGATCTTTGGGTTGAGTTAGGTAGTGGGGATGTTGTTAGGGGGTCTATTGTAGAGCACACTGATGCACGAGGTCGCAAGCGTCACGGTGTGGTGCACAGACTTGAAGAGGATGAAGTTTTCGAGTTTGATCCTAAGCGGCATCATTTCGTAACTCCCTTCAAGGGCACCCGCGTCGTTGTTATAGGCTACACTTCCGACGTGCTTGGAAAGGCCGAAAAAGATGACCTTGACGGCTTAGCAGATTTGGGATTTCCTCTCCCAGACTCCGCCTATCTCCAGGCCCCGCGTCTGTCTCAAGTACAGGAGGAGGAGGAGGCCACTGAGGCTCATGAGATCCCTATCCATCAACACCCTAGCTTCCCGGAGAGCCAACCCGTCAACAAAGGTGGTGGTTGGCAAGAGGTCTTTCCAGTTGCAGATGGGTTTGTAGACTTCGCTGTGAACTGGTCGTGTTCGTATCGGCCAGTTGCCCCTGTATGCAGCCCCTCTAAAGAGGAGGCCGGACCAGAGCAGAACCAAAGACCCGTTGAGATTGATGAGGCCTGGCCGGTTACTGTGTCTTGGGACATGTATGTTCCGCAGGAGCCCATGAGCGATGCCGCAAACGCCAGCAACTGCAGTTTGAGGGTGCTTAAGGTTGTAGAAAGTGGTTCGCGGAGCTCGTTAGAGGAGGAGGGTTTCGTAAGCGAAGGTAGACCCGTAATCCCCTACCGCCTGTGCAAAGCCGAACCGACGTTCACGAAGAACATAGAACACCTTCTAAGCAATCTAAGCTCACCTCTGCAAATCGTTCACACTGTAGACCCCGCAGAAGTCGCACTCAATCCAATCCCTTGGATTCCGTCCATTGAGAAAGAAGTAAAGGCCATTGAGCATGCGGTGCTCAGACTGCGCCCTTCAGACCCCAGGCAGGCCGAGTACTTGAGTGATCCTCGACTGCAGGTGGTACCTTCCAAGTTTGTGTTCACAGTGAAACCGCCCGACCAAGGGGCAGCAGCTGTTGGTGACACTGGAAAGCTTGCGCTCACTCAGCCCGACAACAGTACAGAGGCCCTTCAGGGCGCTCCAAAGGCTTCGTCGCAAGGCCAAGGTTTGTACCGTCGGAAAGCGAGACTTGTTGCTTGCGGAAATGTGGCGCCAAATACAGGCTTGGATGTGTATGCTGGAGGTGCTCAGGCTGAGAGCTTGAGAACAGTGATTGCCCTGGCAAGCTTCTTTGGTTGGTTGTTGGGAGTGTTGGATATCACCAGCGCGTTCCTCAAAACGCCTATTCCTTGTCTTGAAGGTTTCCCCATCTTTGCGTTGACCCCGCCCCGCTTGTTGGTCAAGCTTGGTCTTGCAGTTGCACATGAGCTGTGGATACTATCCCACGCGGTTTACGGCCTTCGAGAGGCCCCGCGCTTGTGGGGGCAGTATCGAGATGCTTGTTTGGCAGCGTTGGTGTGGGACCTTGACGGCGTGACCTACCGGCTTGAGCCTTCGACCCTAGACCCGAACTGGTGGAAAGTCGTCAGGGTTGAAGGTGGTCGCGTTGAGGGCGCATTGTTGGTGTACGTTGATGACTTCTTGTTGTGTGGGTCGCTAGGTGTCCTTCAAAGTTTGGCAAAGGCTCTGCAAGAAAAGTGGGCCACAACACCGTTTGTGGTAGCTACCCCAGAGCAGCCGATCAAGTTCCTTGGCGTGGACATCATTGTCATTCCTCGTGGGTTTGTTCTCTCACAGCAGTCGTACGCAGAAGAAGTCTTGCGGCTTCATGAGGTACCTTGCCACGTGAGGGGTAGAATCCCTTGTCCTCGGGAGCTAGCGTCGTTTGAAGTTGGCGAAGGAGACTCCAGCCCCCCTGACGGGGAGGCCGTTCACCGCGCGCAACAGGTGACTGGTGAACTGCTGTGGTTGTCTCAACGTACTCGCCCGGACCTGGCGTTCACTGCCAGCTTGCTTGCTAGTTTGTCTACGAAGGCGCCTTGTCGTGCTCTACGCATTGCTGACCGTGCCTTGGCTTACTTGCAGCGAACCAAGACAGCGTCGCTGGTGTTTGAGGCGGACGGAACCCAACTTCACGGTTGGAGTGACGCAAGCTTCTCGCCAGAAGGCCTTCGCTCACATGGAGGCTGGTGCGTGTGTGTGCATGGATGTCCAGTTGCTTGGAGGTCGGCGCGTCAAGCTTTTGTGACACTTTCTACTGCTGAAAGTGAACTCACTGCTTCGATTGAGTGTGCAATCGCGCTTGAATCAATTGAGGCGTTGCTTCACACGGTTGGTTTTGACGTTGCGGAAGAAAGGGTTTTGCACGTTGATTCCCAAGCGTCACTTGCGATTTCTGACGGTCATGGATCATGGAGAACGCGACACCTACGGGTAAGAGCTGAGTACCTTCGTGAGCAGACTCGCTCTGGGAAGCTGAGGCTTGCCTTCTGCCCGGGTGTGGAACAGCTTGCAGATCTACTGACCAAACCTCTTCCGTCTGCAAGGATTGAAGAGCTTGTCAGGTTATGGGGCATGCGTGACTTTGCGGGTGATACAGCCGACCGAGAGGTCAGGCCGAGCTCGTCAGCAGCTGTCGACCCAGTCGCGTTGAGTGCCTTGTTGTGTTTGCTTCAAATCCAACCTGCACGAAGCTCAAGCCGTGAATCCGAGTATCCTGGCTTGCAGCTTGATGGATCCCTGGAGCTGTACTTCGTTCTTGGCATGGCATTGGTTTGTGTCCTTGTTGTGTGGGAGTGGTTGAAGAGATTGTGGGATCGGCTTGATGCGTGGTGGGCTGGTTCGCATGCGTCGTCTCGTCGAGCCCGTCGTTTGAGGCGTATGCAGAGAGCTGTTGAGGATGAGCTTGCTGCCCAACTGCAGGGCATGAGTCTTGAGGACGTGTCTTCCAGACCACCAGCAGGTGAGTCCACAGCTCACAACGAGAGGGCACCTGTGCCTTCGCAGTCCTCCCACGAGTTGCCTGCTGCACCACGGCCCAAGGCCACACAGTCTCGTCGCCGCCCTGCAGTGCGTGAGCAGTCTACTCAAACGGATCGTGAGCCTGCTTTCCAACCAGTCACAGGAGTCCCACCAGATCCGATGCCTGCCAGGATCGAAATCCGCACGCAGTATGAACTTCCCCAAGGTCCCTTTTACTTCACTGCGCACGGGGATTGTGTTCATCTAGATTCTAATTGTTGGGGTTTAAGGCGTAATACACCCTTAACTACCCGCAACTTGTGCCGTGTTTGCAGAGACCGCCACCGCACAGGTCTCTAAAGGCAAGCCAAGGTTCAAGGCTAGAGGTCCCAGGAACGGGCATGCTGTAAATAGTGCAGCGTGTGCTAGTTGCCTGTCGGCTCTAGCAAGGAGGAGAATTGAAATGCTTCTCACTGCATGCCCAGGTATCAGGTTAGACAGGTGTGTAGTCTGCTTGAAGGGATTGCCGGCACTTGTATAGTTTCCTTCAGGTAGGCTTGTACATGTGTGTTTCCTGTATCCTTTGGCTTAGGGGAAGGCTGCGTAGGAAAGCCTCTTGAGCCATGTGTACTGTAACCAACAACTTGTAAAGCTGTACAGGTCGTTTGTTGGTTTGTCGGTTCTCTTGTTGCTTCGTTGAGATCGTGAGTCGCCTCTGCGCCCAGCCATAGAAAACATTCTGCGTGAGCTTCGCTGCAGGGTATGGCCACCCAGGGTGAACACCTTCAACAGTTCCTTTTAAAGGGGTCTATCAGGGATCTGTAGTAGGGTTCTACAGGAAAAGGGCATTAATCCTTAGAATAGTGTCCTGGGATATATTATACTAGAAGTACGAAAAGGAAAGCCCCCGATGGTATAGGTAATTATTAATTAAAGCCCCTGCAGTAGTCAAAGCTTGCACTGAGGTGCCCCCTCCTCCAGCAGCCCTTCCGCCCAACTTCAACGCTCTTCTGGCACAGCAGCAGCAGCACTGCCGGCGGCCGTTTCGAACTTCGACCTTAATCTCAAACTCGTAGACTTTAAAGTGTTCAAACAATATATATATATATATATATATATAGACCTTACTCTCAAACCCGGAACCATCAGGCTTTGTTTTTCTTCCCAGTCTCGGATTTTAATCCGAAGCTCTGGTTCAAAAGCCTCGGTGTCTTAGAGCCATTGTTCGGACCGGGGTTTGGTTTAAAAAGGCATAACTTATGTGAGAGTTTCCGAAAATCAGGGGTACCTTATTTTGGGGCCTTCATAACAAAGATCCTACTATTTAGGGTGCTATATTAGGGTCCCCTATTTTCGGAAACTCCCATTTGTAGAAGGAACTATGGAATATCAGAAGTTCATAGGCCGGAAGCATAAACTGTAGGTTATATGCAGTTTCGGGTTTAGGGAACCCCTCTATTGCAGGTTCCTTGCATCAATCAGATTCCTACAGTAGGCCGGAAGAATTTACAGGAGAAGCCAGAAAGTTGGAACATCATTAGTCCTCATTCCCTAAGGATAAAGTATAGCTATTGGGAATCCCCACCAAGCATCCCAAACCCACGTTCCAACTTTCTGGGCTTCACTGGGTTTAGCACCTCAACGCTAGACACCACAAGCCCCGGACACTGACCCAACCCACCAAAACCCAGGCTCGACTGCAACAGCTCTAGGGCAGGTTCCGGGTTTAAACAGTAGAGCCCGACACCCTGAGGCCTAAACTGCCCGAAACCCTAACCTTAAACCCTATCGCCCCCGCAAAGGAACCCTTAAACCCTACGGCACTGTCCGAACCCAGAGCCCAAGTCAAAGACCCGCATCGTCCCAAACTCTCGGCTTTGAGCCTTCAAGTAACTTTGCCACACTGCTGGAAACATCAGTCATCTGCCTCCTCCATCCCCTCCTTGTGTCCCGAAGCCAAAACCCACAGCCCTAAACCCCAAAGCGTAGCCGTAGCCCTCTTCCGAACTTTCAAGCTTCATGGAGTTGACTTCACGCATGAGTTGAGACGTACATGGGTGGTTGTCAATATTAGGGTCCCTTTTTGGGTCCTTATTCTAATACGGCACCTAATGTTTAGGGAACCCAAAAGGGGACCACAATGTTGACAACCACCCAAACAGACGACTATAGCCCCTATACTAAATCCTTATAGTAGGCCTTAAAGAAAGCCCTTATAGACCCCTTTAAAGGAGCCCTATTCTATCATAATTTTACAGCCGCCGACATGTTCTTGTGGAGCAGAGGCTCGTGTGACTTCCACTTCTGCTGCTCCTTCTCTCGTAGTAGAAGCTTGAACATTAGGGACCCAAGAAGCACATAAGCATAAGCAATTTATGGGGATATCCCTAGCTTTTTGGCCTTCCTTTTAAGGGGGTTTATATGGGATATCACTATCCTTCTTTTTGCTTATGTGCTTTTTGGAGCCCTAGAATAATTGAATGTATTCCTGAGGGTTCTCCTTTTTACTAGAATATACCCCGAAACCTTTCCCAATTATTGAGACCCTGTATATTACCGCCGATGATGGTCAGCTTGATCAGGGTGGAATCTTGGTGATGATGCTTGTGGTTCAAGGCTTGGTGTTCAGGGATGAAGAAAGATGCCTGTGCAGATGTTGCCGATGAACCTTCAAACCCGCACCACCTTAAACATCTGAAAGCTTGCCCTAAAACCTTAACTCCTAAATCGTAAAGGCCCGAAACTTCGGAAGACCCTGGACAACAAGCTTAACTTTATAACGCTCCTCAAAAAGAAACGGCCCAATTAATCCGCTTTCAAACTCCTACAAAGTTTCAGAAATAGTCAGTCAAGCTGCAAACACCCCAAACAACCCCAAATGAAACCGGTACAATATGCCTGTAACCCTAAGGGTCCATGTACTCATATAGTATAACATTGACCTTAATGTAGTCCCTATATAGGTACATTGGGGCCCATGTATCTCTATATGGGTACATGGACCCTCAGGGTAACTATGCCAGGCAGCAGAGCCAGGCCGCTGGTCTGGCAGCTGTGCTTGGGCCGCCACCTCAGCTTTTCCTTGGGATCCTTGCGGAAACTACCCAGGGAGCCCACTATACCCCACAATTAAGGAATCTACCTTATATTATAGGGGATTTCAATTTATGGTTTTAGGTCTGTTAATCAATCAAGGAATCTACCTTAGATTATAGGGGATTTAATATTACGGTTTAAGGTTTATTCCTCAATTAGGGGCTTTTGGGGCTCTCTGGATGCACCTAGAGTCACAGATTTCGGCTTCTCGGCCTCCGCGGTGGTGTGAGCCTCCTCCAGTGTAGTGCTTCCCTGGTGGTGTTGTTGTTGGTGGTGGCGGCGGTACCCTAAACCCTAAACCCAAAAACAAACTCAACCCTAAATAACAGAAAATCCAAACCCCAAACCCAAAAAGAAACCTAAACCCTAAGCCCTGAACGCAGAAGTGCTGGTGGTCGTGGTGGATCATGGTGGCCTCAGTCGATTTGACGGCCTGGTCGTCGCAGTCGTCGTGGTCCTCGTGGTCCTGGGGACGCTGGTCGGGTGTCCGCGGTGCGCGGTCCGTTACGTTGACCGCAAATAACCTACGGTTTTTAGGGACTTATATAGGAAAACGTAATAAGGATGCCTATACAGGTAGAATCTTTAGAGTCCAGGCAGCCACATCTTCCATGGCAGAACGGTTTCGAGCCCTGGGCTTGAGGCTTGACGGTTAAGGTTTGGCCGTTTTTCGGGCGTAGGTTTGGCAGGTCCCGAGGTTTCTTCGGTGGCTTCTTGTGCTGTCCAGGGCTGCCTTTTTGCAGACAAATTTAAGGATACCATGCTTCTTGGTCTACATGTAAGCCCTGAGCCCCAAACTCTGGAAAAAAAACTCGACATAAAGTAACCTTCCAAGTAATCCTTGATTCCAAGACCCCTCAAAATCCCAAAGCCTGAAGTAAACCCTAAATCCCCTACCCAAAGGCCCCACAGTAGTTCCTTTTCGGGATTACCGTATAGGACTCTATATATGAACAGTTTGGGGCCTTTGCTGTAAGCCCATTACTTGGAGGGTCGGGGGACTCAGTAAGTAGGTAGTACTTAGACTTATAAGCACCCCAAAAAGGGACCCTAATTTGGGTTATGGTACTTATAAGTCCCTAAAATAACCAGTTACTAAGTCCCCCGACCCTCCAAGTAACCTTAAACACCCACGAAAGCAGAGGCGCGCGGCACCAGGGGCCCCGGGTGGCTTGGCATTTCCAGGCGGTCCGCCGCCACCAGGCCTTTCACGAGGGCTAGGAGAGGTTTTGCCATTTTCGGTTTGCGTTGGCCCCTGTATAGAACCTATTCTCTAACGTAGAGTGCCGCCGTGCCCGCCTTTTTATAAGCACTTCAAAGGTAGGTTTTTTGGAGTTAAGGTAGGGCTTCGTGTTGAGGGTCAGGATTTGGGTTTAGTGAACCATAAACCCCAAACCGCGCAGTGGCGGGTTGAACTGCATGCGACGTGGGTGTGTGTTTGAAGGTCTTGTAAGACTGCGGAGTCGAGAGTCTAGGATTCTAGGTTCGAGGGTTTAGGGTTTAGGGTTTTCACGGAGTTGGTTGAATTAAGCGTTGCTTCAGCCATCTCAAGCCTTAGTAAACTCTACCTCGGTCTCCCGTTTCCTCTATATGTCCGCGAAGACGAAAAGTGACATGTGATCGTGCATACATAGATGCATACATACATACATGCTTACATACATACATACATACATACACACATCCTCAGTCTTATACACCGAAGCTTGGATACCACGGGAGGTGTAGTGTAGTGTGTGTCTGTTTTCTTCGCTCGTCAGAAGACGCAGAAGATCATGGGTGATGAGCGGCAGATTGTGGTTATTTCGGTCTGCGCTGTTGCGCTTTACAGGAAGCAATGATTCAATCCCAGAACCCTACCTATAGTCTCCATTGTAGTTCCTTTTTTGGTTTAACCAATTTTATATTAAGGATCCTAAAGGTAACCCGAAGAAGGAACTACAATGGAGACTATAGGTACTTGCAAAAACCTCAGAAGTCGAAAGATCCTAAAACTTACAAACCCTAGGCCCAAAGCCTTCAGCCCCAAACCCTACAAACCCGTAACCGCTAACCCCTAAACCCTTAAACCCTAACCCCTAAACCCTCAAACAGCCTTAACCCCTAAATCCCTAAACCCTACCCAGAGGCCCCAAAGTAGTTCCTTTTGGGGATTACCTTATAGGATTCTAATACGAACCCCCAAAAAGGAACTACTTTGGGGCCTTAGGGTAACCCCTATCCACGCATGTCTGCAGGCCTCACCGCACCGGGGCTTGCGGGACTGGGTCTGCCGCCCGTCTCCGGTCTGCCTCCGCCCCCACCAGGCAGCGCAGCACCCAGACCTTCCAAAATCCCTTAATTAAGGAATATACCTCAAATCATATTAGGGATCCTACTATAGTTTAAAGTATATTCCTTAATTAAGGGGTTCTGGAGTCTCTGGGACCTTACTTAGAGGCCCAGGGGACTTAGTGAGTAGGTTATAAGTGGAGGTATAAGTGCCCTAAATAGGGAGTTACCCCAAATATCACCGTACTTAACAAGTCCCATGGGCCTCCAAGTAGGGTTTCGGGCTCAATAGGGTTTTCTTAAAGATCTGTAGGTATAGGGCTTCTACAACATGGGCTCTTTTGGCGAGTTTGGGGTTTCGGGGTTTGGAGTTTGGGGCTTCCGGTCTAGTCCGAATGTTGGGGTGTTTGGAAGTGGGACTAAGGGGCGGTTTAGGGTTTAGGGTTTAGGGTTTAGGACTATAAGCTTTTACAGTGTTTGCACGGAGGAGTTAAAGGTTCATGTCGACCTAGTATTCCGGTGGAGTGGCAAACATCATACTTGTAGCTGTGGTCAAAGTACATGCATATCTAGTGAAGATACCCGCTGGTCTGTATAAGTGAGCTGATGGAAGGAAAACTATGGATGGCCGTCGAGTAAATCCGTAGCATAGCCAATCTTGAACCCGCCTTTCCTTCAGGGCTGCGTTGTTGTTGGTGCAGAGATGTGATCAGTGTGCCTCAGGAAATCCGGATGTGGACACTTCAATGTATATGTAGTGCGTTAGGAAAGCATATGTACATGTGACCCTCTATACCATCAGGACGACATTGCCAGCCACTACTCGCACTCACCCACGACTAGCCAAAACGGCTCCGATGGAAAGCCCAGCACTGATGCAAACTCTGCTCCTAGCAAGCAGGAAATACAGTGCCGTTTCAATGCGCTTGTTGCCTCGATGGGCCCAGACGTCGACAGCTCCTCTATCTTAGTCTCCTCAGGAATTGTTTTTAACTTTGTTCATGGTTCTAAGGGAGGATTAGTAAAGTGAAGTTCTAGGCAAAGAGGCGTCACAGGATCGATGCGCAGGCAGGCGGCCAGAACAAGCGCCGATGTGTTTGCACAGCAACCTCCGCTTGCCCCACATAACTCAAAAGCTTCAGCCGTGCCATAAGTTTACAAAACCCCTTAACTGAGAGCAGTGTGCGCAGCAGGGCCTACCGTTCCTCAAACCCTAAACCGAAGCGTGAACCCCAAACCCGAAACCCTAAATTGTAAGCCCAAACTACGCCCTAAACCCTGAAGCCCCTCGGTGCAATCCCGGCCTGACCGCGGCAGAGAATCAGGGGCCTCAAGTAGGACTCTTATAACCTGGGTTTGCAGTACCCGACTTGAAACTTGTTTTTGGTACCTGTTCCTTAAAGGAGCCATCATGAAATCAAAGTCTATACTTTTTTCTCCCTGGTTACTTCAAAGTCCAGATAAGGTCCCAGCATTACTTAAAAGAAGTATGAAACCTTTTAAAGCCCCTGTAGTTGAATTCTCTTAGACAGCCCTAGAGCCTAGAACCCTAAGCCCTAAAGACAGCGAGGCCACTTGTCAGAAATCCCAGAACATGAACACCAAACCCAAAACCCTAAACAGCCGAAACCCTAAACACCCTAAATCCGTGATTACTGAATTCCCTCTATATCAGGTCATGGCTCCCATTGCATTTAAGGGACCCCAAGGGTCCAAGTACCTAACCTTCGTATGCTCTCCAAAATAGTAACCTACAAAAATACTATCCCCAAACCCGAGTACCTGATTATCGGGTGCTTTGAACCCTTAAGGTAAGCCCGAAACCCCCAACCCAAAACTCCCAAACCGGAGCCCTCAACGCTAGCCCCTAAACCCTGAAGCCCTATAGCAGCCTTATAGAGCTCATAGAATTAGAACCTTTGAAGGAAGCCTTAAAGGGGGTCCTATTATGGAACCCTATGGTGCCGGCCCAATTCCATGTAATTATTGGTACTTGAAGGTTCATGGGTAGCTATACGTAGGATTTTATGTCCCTTAATATAGGTTATAAGTATACTTACCCTACTTATTACCCCCTTATAGCTACCGATGAACCTCCAAGTAATCCCTAAAACCAAAACCCTCTTACAATCTTTAAAGGAGACGCTTAAAGGAACCTAGGGTTTAGGGTTTAGGGTTCGAGGGGAGATGGATCCTCGTGGTTACTTGGGGGGTCGGGGGACTTAGTAAGTAGGCAGTAAGCAGACTTATTATAAGTACCCTAAAAGGGACCCTAATTCGGGTTATAGTACTTATAAGTCCCAAAAATAACCAGTTACGAAGTCCCCTAAACCCTCAACCCTAAACCCTTATAGAATCCCTATAGATCCCTTTAAAGGACCCCTTTAAAGGAACCCCTTATAGTCCCCCGACCCTCCAAGCAGAGACCCCCAGCAGTTTGTGTCATCTGGCGAGGCTTAGGTCTTCCAGGGCTTGGAGGCGCCGGGTAACTTTGCTTTCAGAGGGCCGAAGGGTTTCTGGGGGTTTAGGGGGGTTTAGTGTGTAGGGGGTTGAGGGCGTTTCGGGGTTAAGGGGGGGGGTTTAGTGTTTGGGGGTTGAGGGGTTGAGGCGTTTAGGGTTTGGGGACTTAGGGCTTACTTTAACCTACCAACATCTACTTGTTTTGCAGGGCCCCAGTAGATTTCATATTAGGGTTTCTAACAAGAACCGACGGAACAAGTAGGCTTTGACCGTTTAAGGTCGGGTTTTGAATTTGGTGTGTAGGGGTTCGGGGTGTGCGATTAGGGGTCTGTAGGGTTAAGGGTGTAGGGCTTCTTAACTGGTTTCTTCCATGTATATTGACAATTGAGTTAAGCTACGACTGTACAGTATTATGCATCTGTGATCAAGGATCGTCTTTTGCCGGACATGTACGATGTTAACCCAGGGGCTACGTGAAAAGCGGCGGCTTCAAGGATCAGCGCCACGTGATTGCTTCATTGCATGGTGAGAACCCCGATCTTCGCGAGGTCATGAGCGACTCTCCCGCTCAGGAGATGACTGATCAGGAGCTCCTAACCCACGTGCCTGAGCTCTCCTATGTGAGCATCCTCCATGCTCACTACTCCTCACGCTTAGCATACCTGCCTGCTAAGCTGGGGGAACTCAATCTCAGCGACGATCGGCAGTCGCAGATCCTCAGAATGCCTGAGAAAACAATGCCACTGCTTGAGTGGAACGTCCACTCGGAAGCGGGCTTTGGCGGCCGTGTTGCAGTCCCGTTCCAGCATTCCGGGGACGGAGGGTCATCGGAGTCAGATAAGGCTGAGCGGTCATGCTGCTAGCTGGCACTACGACAGCACGCATCTTTTCATCACCTCATGACACTCGTAGCAGAACCATTGGCTGGGCATGAATTGCCGCTGTCCTTTTGCAAGGAGAATTGCCAGTGGTCGGAAAGTGGAGTGGCACACCGCCCCGCCCCGCCACGGTGACTGATGGCGAGGGCTCCCGGCTAGCGGTCAAACACTAGATGTCTCACCCAAAGCTAAACCGCTGATTTTCTGGCACGCTCATACAGACTCCTCACGAAACCCGTTAACTTCCTCAATGTATTTCAGCTACAACACCTACTCAGAACAGTGCTTCGGTTTTTGTACCATTTCAGAAGGGCCCTGTCATAAGGTCTAGAAGCCCTTACACAAAAGCCTTGAAATCCTATGCTAGGTATGCGTTAAGATAGGAACCCTTATGCACTTACTGATGGTAACGCTTTAAATAATCCTTAAAGGCGTCTGGAAATCCCAAACAAGCCTTATAGTAACCCCTCACATAATCCTTGAATGAGCTTCAGCTCCTCATCCCTAAACCCCAAACCCCTGAACCACCAAACCCCTGAACCCTAAACCCACAGAATCCCTTAAGGAGCCCAGGAATTCGTGAGCTCTATAAGCCCTAAACCCTTAACCCAGAATCCTCTAAACCCTAAAAAACTGTCTCACTGTCTCAACCCTATAAACCCTCCCTAAACCCTAAACCCTAACCCCTAAACCCTAAACCCTAAACCCTAAAACCCTAAACCCTAAACCCTAAACCCTATAAACCCTCGACTCTAAACCCAACCCTTATCCCCAAACTCCTCTAAACCCTAAACTCTCTAAACCCTTTCAGCCCTCTAAACCGTCAAAACCCTCAACCCCTGACCCAAAATCCTCTAAAACCGCACACTTTCCCTAAACCCCAAGCCCAAAGCTCCGCAGCCTCCGAAGGCTGTAGGCACCCTTATAGCAACCCATTAAAAGAAATCCTTAAACCTTTTAAACAAGGACACCAAACCCCATAAATCCGAAACATAAACCCTCTAAACCCTGTAAACCCTAAACCCCAATCCTCTAAACCCTACTTGGAGGTTCATGGGTAGTCATAAGTGGGGTTAGAAGTCCCCTAATATGAGTTATAAGTATACTTACCCTACTTATAACCCCACATATAATTACCCCACAAGCAACCCCATAAACCCCGAAACTCCGCAGCTTCCGAAGGCTATAGGAACCCTTATAGTGGCCCTTTAAAACGAAATCCTTAAAAGAGGACCCCAAACCCCAATACACAACGAAACTCCGCAGCTTCCGAAGGCTATAGTAACCCTTGTAGTAACCCTTTTTGAAGAACCCCGAACCCCATAAACCCTGCACCATAAACCTTAAACCCCTAAACCTTAAACCCTAACCCCTACACCCCTAAACCCTTAAACCCTAAACCCCTAATCCCTTAAACCCCTAAACCCTTAAACCCTAAACCCTAAACCCTAAACCCCTAAACCTCTTCCGAAGGCTTGCCAGATCTGACTCAGCCTCCGCCGGGTCTAGGTCTTGCACCCCAGGCCGGGGAAGGGGTGGGGGGAGAGGGAGGTTTGGGGTTTCCTTTAAGGGGATCTTTAGGGTTCCTTAAAAGGGGTGTAGGGTTCCTTGTAAGGGGATCTATAAGGTACTATAGGGTATTTCAGGGTATTATAAGGCATTATAAGGGGATCTAAAGGGTACTATAGGGCATTATAGGGTTTAGGGTTCGGGGAGGGGGAGGAGGAGAGGGGAACGGGAGGGGGGAGTTCGGGGTTTCACGGTTTGGTTTCAGGGATTCAAGGGTTCAGTGGTTCTAGGGGTTCAGGGTTCAGGGTTGATGATTTAGGGGTTTAAGGGCTTGAGGGTTTAAGGATTTAGGGTTTGGGGTTTGGGAGAGGGAAGGAGTTCGCGGCTTAGGTGTTTAGAGTTTAGGGCGGAGGGTTTCGAGCTTCGGGTCTTGAGGGGGGGGAGGTTTGTTGCGACGTTCAAGGGTTTAGGCTGTTGAAGGGTTGGGGGAGGTCTGATGGCTTAGTTAGAGCTTAGGGTTGCAAGTTTAGCTCTTGGATTCAAGGTTTCGGGGTTCAGAGTTTAGGGAGTTGGAGGTTCAGCGCTTTTCGATTTAGGGGTTCAGGGGTTTCGGGAGTGTGGGTGAAGGGTACAGGGTGACAAGGTTTCAGGGTTCCGCAGGATTTTGGTTCCAGGAAGGCTTTACATGGCAGGGACATGTTGGAAGTCGAGATTTTAGGGTTCAAGTAGGTTACGGGAATTGTGATGATTGCCCAAGAGGGTATAGGATCCAAAAGGGTTTATGGGTTAGGCCTGTTGCCTTGGGATTGGCGGGGACCTGCAGTTTGTCAGATCGCACCTCCATTGCATTTTTTCTTCGGCTAATGTAGGAACCTGATTAAGAAACCCTGGGCTTATAACCCAATATAGTCGGATTCACATAAGGAACCCAAATAAAGACCCAAGGTTTCTTAATCAGGGTCCTACATTATGAAGTTTCGTAGTAGGGTTTCCGGATAGTGAGGGCGCGAAAAACGATTTGGCTTGAAAAGAGCTCGCCAATAGTGGGGGTTTAGCAACAGTGTACCCTAAGCCGCTCGAGAGTTATCAAGCATGACTGATCAGTATTCAGTAGTTAGTAAAGTACATTCTGTAGGGTTGCTGACTATACCTATAGCATAGTGCACCTCAGAAGCCTTGCTCGAATTATTAAGACCCCTGTGTTAATCCCGTATGCTGCCCTAAACCCTCATCTTGAAACCCATGAACTGCATGCTAAGCCTTTATGCTCATAGGCACCGCCTGGTCCCGCTCCTCCGCAGCTAGCCGTGGCTGGAGCTGTGACCTTGGCTTTCTTCAGCAGGAACCCAAAAGACTCAAAAACCATCCGGTTCAGGGTTTCAGAACTTCGGCGTCTTACACCCGAAACAAAACCCTAAATCCTAGCCCGACACCCCACTTTGCTGGCTTCCTTACTAACATTAAAGAGGGCATGATACCAGCAAGCCCAGACTCCCCCTGCGGGGCTTCTGTGGGCCCTTATCCTTATTCTACCCGTCGTAGTCTTCTTTGCGACTCTTGTTGGTTTCGACTCCCTTCCTTCCCTACACTCATAGGGACCCTTAGGGGGGCCAAGGGGGAGGGGGGTAGGGGACTATACTTCCTTAAATAGGCCTTGTTGTGGGCATTCCCCCTACCCCACCGAAGGGTCCTTATACACCAACCCTATACCCTTATAGAATCCCTTTAGATCCCTTGAAAAGGGACCCTGAAAGGAACCTTTATAACTACCATTAAGCCATAAGCACGTTGGGATTTGTAAGCAAAAGATCAGCGGTCATGGTGTCTTGCCTGGAACCGATCGTACCTCTTTGAGGGGCTTTTGTATAAGGACATAAACAGAAGAATCAAGCGTGGGAACAAGAATAATAGTAATAATAAAGTATTAGTAAGAGTAAAGAACAGTAGCATTAAGTAATAGTAACAATAAGTAATAGTAACAAAGAGAAATAGTAACAATGATAATAGTAACAATGATGATAGTGACTAGTGAAAGGAAACCTATAAAGGTAAGCTATTTGGTTTGGCTTCGAAACCTAGGTACCTCATTCGGGAGCCCATAGATTATCATACGGATCCTGCTTTGTCGTTTGAAGACTGGGGTCCCTGATTTCTGACACTCCTGAAGGGTGAATAATAAAGTAGGGTCGGAAAAGCCGGGTTGGGACCACCTACTTGGAGGGTCGGGGGACATAGTAACTGGTTATTTTAGGGACTTATAAGTACCATACCCCCAATTAGGGTCCCTTTTAGGGTACTTATAAGTCTACTTACTACCTACTTACTAAGCCCCCCGACACTCCAAGTACAACCCCATGAACACAGCGTTGGCTTTGATGCGCCCGTGACTGTTCCGCCTGAGGCACAGCTTTGCTTCATCATGGCAGAGAGGCATGCAAGCCTCAAGCACTTGGCGGTCTTTGATCTTTCCGAGTTGGGAGGAGAGCTCGTTGCTATGCGCGAGACTGAGGTTGAGAAGACGAAGCTTTCGAAGCAGCAAGGTGTCGCAGCCGACAAGGAAGCCAAGGAGGCGGCGAGGCAGAGGTCCAGTCGAGCTATGACGAAGAAGTGGTGAGATCCCTTGCTTCAGCTCTTCGAGACCCTCAGAGTAAAGTAATTTTCGAGCTTAAGTTTGCGAAGAACCGACAGAAATTGCTGGGCTCATTGTGACTGATATGGGCCAAAACTGTGCGTGGATTCTTGTTCGGTTCCTGGTCGAAACAATATCGACTCATGTGTTCGAGTCGAAGACCGCCTTGATGAGGTTGCTCGGATGTTGACCCTCTTGGTCATTTCTCCTGTCTCATCCATGAAGCCTTGTGAAACCCATTTGCAAAACAACGAAAGAAGCCCTTTCACATTTCTGAAAGCCTAAACCCTAAACGCAAACATCTCTAAACCCAAAGCCTAAACCCCAAAAGCCCTAAAACTCAAAACCCTAATCCCCTAAACCCTACACGCCCGCACACTCCACGCAAGGTGCCCCCTGCGCCTCCTGGCATGAGCCCAGCTGCGCACGCCGCCGCGGCCGGGCTCAGGGTTTCATTAAGGGGAACGAGATCCTACGGTTGATGATATAAATCCTGCATTACTTATAATATAGTAAGGAATATACCATAAGGGTACCTTTAAGGGGATCTATAGGGTTTAGGGTTTAGGGATATAAATCCTGCATTACTCATATAAAGGAATGTACCATAATTCCCAGAGTTTGGGGTCCTTGGGGTAATACAGGATTTATATCATCAACAGTAGCACCCTATTCTGTGGGTTTAGGGGTTTAGTTGAGTTTCCTATAATCTACGACAACATTATATTATATTATTATGTACTATAATATACGATACGACACACTGATTCACTACAAAGATACTTGGCCTTCAGGGCATGAGTCTTCAGGAATTCAGGCTTTAGGCTATCCTGGTGCATCCGGCCTTGTGGGGTCAGTCGGTCCACAGGCAACGAGGCTAGCGATGCGGGCCTTTATCCGCTACTTGGAGGGTCGGGGGACTTAGTAAGTAGGTAGTAAGTAGACTTATAAGTACCCTAAAAGGGACCCTAGTTGGGGTTATGGTACTTATAAGTCCCTAAAATAACCAGTTACTAAGTCCCCCGACCCTCCAAGTATCCCTTGTTTACTGTATCTGTCCGAGACAGACCGCACTTCGACGAAGTGTTTCAGCACAAAACGGTTGATGGGCGAGTATCGGAGATTGACACGTATGGTCATCAGTTTGTGGCAGATTCCGTCGCAGGGAGCCAACGTGCGGGGAGGTTCGCTTCTTCACGAAGCCGTCGATGAGTATTTAAAGGACCGCGCCCGATTGTGGACGATTTTAAGTTTGGGGTACCTTATTTTGGGGTCCTTATAATAAGGATCCTACCATTTAGGCATCTGAGTGAAATTTAAAGGGGAAGTGTGCCCGATTGTGGCGCACAATGCGGTATAGCTGAAGTCACTGTTGCAGCAGCGCGGTATCTTTCGCTGGAACTCACCACATGATGTGTGTTTGCGGCAGCATACTACAGTTGAGGGTTTAGGAAAGTATAGAGTTTAGATGGGTGTAAAGAAGGCTCCGTACAGGAATGCCGTTTTATGAACCTCGGACCTAGAGTAGGCCCTTATTCCCTTTTTCTAGGGTTCAGGTTCCCTTAGAAGCCCCTTTAAACCAAAAAGGGCACCCTTTTTATTCCTAGGTTACTCTTGGGTCTAGGAACGGTACTCCAACCCGGTGTCTGCAATGTATGACGACCCTTCTGAAGCTTTTGCAAGCAGAGCAACTGCATTAGATCATCAGGCTGACGGAATTAATAAACCATTGAGGATAGTGCAGGGCGATGAAGGAATGAAGGAGACGACTACATGCATAGGAACAGGATTGTCTACTACAGTGGTTTAGGACCATAGGACCATAGAGGACTAAGATGACCACTGATTCGGATGCTCGAGACGTCCCGAAAACCCTAAACCCTAAATCCTAAACCCTAAAACCCTAACCCTAAAACCCTAAAACCTAAACCCTCCTCCTCCGAAAGGCAGCGCAGGCGGCAATCCAAACAGCACAAGTGAAGGCCTGCGGACAGGAATTGCTTAAAGTTTGGCTCCGGTTCCTCAGAAGAGACCTACAAGTTTAGGATCCTTATTGTGAGTTCCTTATTTAAATCCTAAAAACAAAGGTAGGTTGTTTGGGTTTAAGGTAGGGCTTAAGGTTCAGGCGTTCAGGCTTTAAGACACCATGAAGTTCGGGATTTCGACTTTCAGGTGCAATCTGGAAGGTGCAACAGCGCCCCAATGATCAACGATTAGACATCAGCATCCCGTGTTGATGAGTGCTTCGATGCATCAGAGGTCTACGGTACACTCACGTCTAGATAGACGAAACTATCCCAAATCTCTAAACCCTGGCAACTCCGAATCTTTTTTATCACAAACAACACGCAAGAACAGAAATGATTCGGATTCAGATCGTCTCTAACCCTTGCTTTGACAAAGGTCTGCTAAAACTTGGTATTTGGTAGAAAGCAAGGCGCGTCCCGCTTGTACGTCGTTGCCGTCACTTTCACCGGATGTCCATGTAAAGAGTTGAGGTACCAACTTTGGTTTTTGGAGTACCTGGACCTCAAAAGTATGTAGAATACTAGCCTTTTGTAGGTATTGGGCCATTCTTTTACCTACTTTTGGGGGTTTGGGGAGTGAGGATCCTGCTACTTGTGATCTTCATCTGTGTTCTTTTCGGACACTCCCACATCGGCATGGCACGCCCCAACTACCCTGTAATATACCCCAAATACCCAGTATGAAGGGCCATAAGGACTCTATTAAAGGGCCCTTGCGGGCGGTCCTGGTAAGTCCTAGACATCTAAGCCAAATGGCTAAACCCTAAACTCTAAACCCTGAACGCTGAACATTATAGATTCCTTATAGGAACCCCTAAGCCCAAAAGGCTGTCGCGGAGCAGGATACACCCTAAACCCCCAACTCCTGAACACCCCTTATGGGAACCCTTTAAAGGCACCCTTGCAGATTCCTTTAAAGGAACCCTTAAACCCTAACCCCTCAATCCTAAACCCTTAAACCTTTAAACCCTAACCCCTAAACCCTAAACCCTAAAGGAACCCTTAAAGCCAAAAAGGCTGTCGCGGAGCAGGAGCATCAGAAGGCGGCGCAGGCGGCACTTCAGGCGCAGGCCGGCTCGGGCTCACGGGGGTTTAGGGTTTAGGGTCCCTAAAACAAGGAGTTACTATACGGGCCTTTAAAACTTACTTAGCCTAGTGGAGAACTTTAAACTTTTTGGCTTTACATATTTGGTCTAGCTTACAAAGTTTGAACTTTGTTTGGGCCTGGTTATTGGAGAAGAGAGTTTTATAATTACCTATGCTATTTCGGGGGTTCCTGTTTATAGCTGTAGTATACTATGCCCCAAAACCCTAGTCTAATTGGCTCCTCAGGGGTCCTTAAAAAAAGCGAAACCGGGCTGTCGGGGTGTTCCTTAAAGGGCTCCTTAAACGGGTTCCTGAAAGGGATCTATAGGGGTTTAGGGGTCTGAGCAAAACCGGGCTTTAGGGTTTCTTAAAGGGCTGCTTAAGGGGTTCCTGACAGGGTCCCTGAAAAAGGGGTCCAGGGTTTAGGGTTGAGAGTTCAGGATTGTCCCTTAAAGCGGGGTTAGGGTTTAGGGTTTCATCCAGAGGATCTATAAGGGTCTATTATAGGGTTTCTACAAGGATACTATCAGGATTCTAAAGTTTAGGGTGTATTTGGAGGTTCATGGGTAGTTATAAGTTGGGTTATAAGTAGGGTAACTATACTTATAACTCATGTTAGGGGACTTATAACCCTACTTAGAACTACCCATGTTCCTCCAAGTAGGGTTTAGGGTTCAGAGTTCAGGCTTCATGGGTTTAGGGGTTTGGGGGTTTAGGTGTTTGAAGTTCGGGTATTAGGGGTCTGGGGGTTTAGGGTTTAGGTGTCGGGGTTTGCGGTTTAGGGATACTATGGTTTCTTTATGGGTTCTGTAAGGGATGTGAGGTTTGGGGTGTATTTGGAGGTTCATGGGTAGTTGCAAGTGGTGTTTTCAGTTGCGGAACCAGAATTTCAAACCCACATCCCACGTATAACAACCCATTCCAAGTAAGGGTCCAACTAAAGCAGGGTTTAGGGTTTCAGGGTCTACGGTTAATTTAAGGGGTGCTCTTAAAACTTAGAAAGGTTTCCTTTCATGGTGAGTTGCATGGGACTTAAGGTTTTAGGGTTTCGATTGCTTTCGTGTGGTGTTCGTATAAGTCTTCTTTTTGCTGTTTTGATGTTTGCTTGGTAGTTGTGCAGTTTCACTGACTGTCGTTGGCGTTTAGCTGAGGATTCGATGGTTTGGGAGTTTATAACTTATAAGGTGTTTTCAGGATTTTTGGTTTGAGAGGTGAGGGTTTACCTTAACCCTGAATACCCTACCTTTTTAGGGTTCCTTAGTATGACTTCCTTATATAGGTCCTTAAGAAGGCAGGTTATTCCGGGTTAAGGCAGGGCCTTTCGGGTGTTTTCAGGTTTATTTTCCTGCAGGTTTGGGGAAATCCTGCGCTTCGTGTCGCGGGGTTCGAGGTGTGAAGCCAGCGCGCCGTACTCAAATAGTACATAACTATTTAGGGCCCAATGTACCTATATAGGGAGTACTTTAACTCTAGGGCAAAAGTATATACTGTTTGGGTAATTACATGGACTCTACTTTTTTGTTTGTGTTCTTTCGGTTTTGACGGGTGGTAGTCGTAGAATTGGTTAACAAAAAGGAAGTATGGTATAGGTATAGGCAAGCCGCAAACCCATAGGCCATTCCGCTGAGTGCCAAACCTACACCTAAAGTCATGCATTCACCTTAAGCCTCGAAGAGTAGCCGCAGACCCTAAACCCCAAATACCCTGAGCCTTAACCTACACCTAAAGCCATATTCACCCTAAGCCTTAAACCTTATACAAGCTTAAACCTTATACAAAACCCTAAACCCTAAACCCTAAACCCTAAACCCTAAACCCTACAGCATGAACCCTACGGAGATTGTCCGAGCCCGAAAAGGCCCTAGATCCTATAAACCCTAAGCGCCTAAACTGCTCACCCTGGACCTTTATTAATTAGGGTTCCTTTTAAAGGGGGTCTCTAAGGGTTACTATAAGGGATCTATGAGGGTGCTATAGTAATGTAGGACTGTTGGTTTAGGGTTTAGGGCTTGAACAGCAACGCTGCTCAACACTCGACAGAGTCTGCCAGTCCAACAAAATTCCGAGTGCAAACCTCTAGCTCAATACTGCTTCCTCGCCGGATCATGGGAATTGGCCATGTCGGTGTTTAAACCCTGGACCCTTATAGATCTCTTATGGCACCCTTTAAGGAACCCTTTAGGAGCCCTTTAAGGATACTAAGTCCCATGATCCTTTAAGTAGGGCTTAGGGTCTCCTCCTGTTTCATGGGAACCTTAGGGTTCTTTCTTCAGGCTTCTTCGGTGCGGGTTATGTGGACACGTTATGCCGGGGTCCGTTTTCGGAGCTCTTCTCTTTGCGCAAGCCTATATAGAGCCTTCACCACCACACACCCTGAACCTGAAAAAAGGTAACCTTACTTGGTGGTTCATGGGTAGTTAGATGTAGGATTCTAAGTAGGGTAACTATACTTATAGCTCATATTAGGGGGCTAATGACTCAACTTATAAGTACCCAATGAACCTCCAAGTATTACAGCTTCACACCTAGAACCAAAGAAAGCCCCGAACCCCCCTTAGATCCCAGAACCCTTTACACCTCAGCCCTGGCCCATTTTATGTCTTCAGGACACCCAGAGCAAGCCCTCGCGCCCTCGACCCACAATCCTGAGCCCAAGGACAACTCTCCAACCCCGACTCCCGCCAAGAGCGTATCCCCCTAGCCTCCTTCTTCCTACCTAAACCAAGTAGCTCCTACAGCCAAAACGCCCTAAACCCCAACCCCCAACCCCTAAACCCTGAGCCCAGAGCCTTGAAACTTAAACTACGCCGTGCCATGGCCTCCTTTGCCAAATTGCGGAGCTTCAGCCGCATCTCAGCGCCTGCGTCTTTGGCAGACTTCCACAGGCGGTTTCGGGTGGAGGGCCCTTTGGGGTTTTAGGGTTTCGGTTTTAGGGTTTAGCGAAGTTAAAGATCTGGGAGTTTCCGAAAATAGGGGTACCTTATTTTGAGGTCCTTTTAACAAAGATCCTACATTTAGGGTACCATATTAGGATCCCCTATTTCGGAAAGTCCCATTTGGGTATAGGGTCGCAGCATTGGGGATTAGGGATTATGGGTGTAGGGCTTCAAGGGTTCGGGGGTGGCGGGTCGCAGGGGTAGGATGGGATCTGTGTTTCGATTCGGTTTGGTTTGGTAGAGTTGTTTATCCAGTGTAGGCTGTGTAGGGTTTAAGGTTGGGGTCTTTTGCGTGCTCGAGACTGCGACTATCTCTAGAGAGCTTTATGACGTCAGTGCTTGGAGGGTCGGGGGACTTAGTAACTGGTTGTTGTAGGGACTTATAAGTACCATAACCCCAATTAGGGTCCCTTTTGGTGTACTTATAAGTCTACTTACTACCTACTTACTAAGTCCCCCGACCCTCCAAGTAAGTGTTCTTCAGTAGTTATGCTAGTAGCAGCGGCAGTAGCAGTAGGCCCCAAACGCGACGAAAACTTGAACCTGCAGCACAGCGAGCCGCGGCATTTAAAGGGTTTGGTGTTCAGGGTTTCTCGTCCCAAACACCATGCGAACATCCTGCCCAACACCTCTTAAACCCCTACCAGAACTCATCACAACCTGTCTCAAGATTTGTATTTAAATTCGTCAAGACGGTATAAAGACCCTTTTGATAGAGTTTATCAAAACAATGTCCAGAACCCTTAAACCCTTCAATCAAAACCTTAAACTCTAAACCCTACACCCCTAAACCCTATAACCCTAAACCCTAGCCCCAAACCCTAAGCCCTACTTGGAGGGTCGGGGGACTTAGTAACTGGTTATTTTAGGAACCCAATTAGGGTCCCTTTTAGGGTACTTGTAAGTCTGCTTACCATAAGTCCCCCGACCCTCCAATAAACCCCTAACCCCCAAACCGCTAAACCCTATAAACCCCTAAACCCTCAACCCCTAATCTCGAATTCCTATAAACCCCTAAACCCTAAACTTTACAAACCCCTGAACACTTCAATCAAAGAACAAACACAGCTTAAAGCTTAGCCAGGCCGCTCCTCGCGGCGTGCAGCGTGCGCCCGCTGCCAGCCGCGGAGCCCTCGACGCTGCAGTGGCCGAGCACGCTGAAGGCTAGGGTTTACGGTTCCTTTACGGGTGCCTTTGAGACCTATAGGGGTTCTATAAGGGTATAGGGTTTAGGGCCTATAGGGTTTAGGGTTTAGAGTTCAGGGTAGGGGCCTTATTAACCAATTACCAATACTGCTTAGGGGGTTCCTGATTATAGTTATAGTATAATGGGCCTCAAAATCTTGTTCTATCTATTAAGGCCACTATATTATAGTACCCTACTATAGATCCCTTATAGAACCCTTGTAAAGATCCCCTTTAAAGGGGCCCCTGTTCTAATTCTTTTTGCCTATAGATTCGGGTTTACGGTTAGGGTTCAGATCTTGGGGGTTTCAGGGGTTATAGCGGATGTTGGGCTTGCCCCTGGCTTGGCTGGGATTTCATCGGTGGTTTTGGGGCTTGTGGAATTAGGATTTTCTCTGGGGGGGTGGGATTTCCTAGGGTCTAAACCTGAAAGGATCGCCCAAGGGTCCGTGTGAGGGTCCATGAGGGTACTGTCAAGATTGCTCGGGCTTCGAGGTGCGTCAGCGCTTATAACTTAAAGGCTCCACGCACCCATATAGTATATACTGAGGTTTTTTTAAGGGGCTCCCAAATGCTACTTTAGGGGTATAAGTACATGCTATACTTGGAGAGTCGGGGGACGTAGTAACTGGATATTTTAGGTACTTATAAGTACCATAACCCAGGGTCCCTCTTAGGGTACTGTACTTATAAAGGGTTTAGGGTTTAGGGTTCTACTTACTACCTACTTACGAAGTCCCCCGATCCTTCAAGTATGGCTACATGGAGCCTTTGATCCTATGAGGCTTCCATAGGGTGGTTGAGTGAGGGGTTTGGTGTTGAACAGCCTTGGGGTTTCATTGGGAGTTCAGGTTTAATTGGGC